CAAGGAGAGAAGGAAGCAGAGTGAGCAGTGCTGGTTTTCAGTCAGTGTACAATAAGGCCCCGTTCCCACTGCGCGATATGCAAATCGCGCATTTGTTGCGCGATTTGCATATTGCGCGATATCGCGTTCAAGCTTGCATTGAGCAAGTTTGAATCGCGGCTAAATCCGCTCCAAAAAGGGTCCTGCTGTAGCGACACACGACCCGCGACAGCAGGACCCTTTGCCCCATTGAAATGCATTGGAGCGCGATATCGCGCGGTAATTTGCCGCGATGTCGCGGGAATTACCGCGTGATAAATCGCTCAATGTGAATGGGGCTTAAGCAGGCTGGGGTGCAGCTATACTGCTGCTGCAGTGGAGGTCAAGAATATGGCTGCCTGAGGTGCCTAGTTCACAAAACTATGCACATAATTACAAATCATTTGGCAAGTAAAAACAATTCCCATTAATGTATTTTAATCATGTATTTAACTGCTTGTCTGAAGTTCAACTTTAACCCCTTCATGACTGAGGCCCTTTTTTCCATTTTTGCACCCATGTTATATTCCACATTTTAGGCCTGAAAATGACGTAAAACCCCCCAACATTATATATTTTCTGAATGCCAAGACCCTATAGAATAAAATGGTGGTAGTTGAAAATTTTTATGTTGCGCAATATTAGCGCAACTCCTTATTAAACCACAAAATTTAGTGACAAATTTAATTAAATGCCCCAAAACACAACAAATTACCCATTTTTTTAATGAAATATAAAAGATGAGGTTACAACGAGTAAAACGATTCGCTAAGGGACATACCATCCCTGCAGCGGAGGAGGAGACAGGCTGGAGGGAGCACTGCCACAGCTGGCCAGTGTATATGGCTCCTACTGTTTTCAAAGCCAAACCCAAAAGAATAAGCTTAACAAAGACAGTAAATTAAATTAATTAGGCTGACTATAGATAGGCAGGTCTTTCCTGACTGAACAAAACATGTTTAAAGTGACCTAAAAAAGAAGAGTTAAGGAACCCAAGAAGTACGGTAGCCCTCGTTCACTTCCGCAATGGCCGAATGCCCAGCATACTGAATACGTAAAGCTCCAGCACTTCCTTGTATTGATGGAGCTTGCCATTCCTCCCAACTCAGGCTGGGCACACACCTTACAACCATCGCAAGACTTTTGTCTTGCGATGGTTGTAAGGTAATTAAAAAAACGTACGATCTGCCTACCTTGGACAGGCAGATCGTACTTGCGATTATCGCAAGCCACGCCCCCCTGAGGGGCGGTCTTCCGATGACCGCAATGCCGAACGGGCAGTGTGCGCTTGCGCACACCGGCCCGTCCGGCTTTTATCTTACGAACATGCTACACACCCGCCGAAAATCGTACGGTTCTCGGTGGGTTTTCGAACATGT